CCGGCAGTGGTGTTACCGTGGAAGGACGGCAGCCGTAAGGTTTGACTGGACAGCCGTCGGATAGCTGATCACAGAATGAGCTCCGCAAAGTCTGTAACCACTGAAAGTCTCCCGTGGGCCGATGTCTGTGCACCCTTCAGAGCAGAGACTCTTCTGGCATGCTGTGGGCACGAATAAATATAAATAGCAAAACTCTGTTAAACTGGTAATAACCCGATTCTGAAGGACTGAACATGGAAGGAGCAGCCTGAAACTAGATTAAAGAAAAACACTCAACAAATCGAAACACCCGCCTTAAGACAGTCCCCCTAGATTATAAATACCACAAAGCTAACTCACGCTCACCTGTATTTGAAACTGTTCCTTCTGTGGCACTGTCATTGCACCTCCTCAAGTACTGTTATTTTTGCTCTGGAACCCAGAAGCAGATCATTAGGTTTAAAAGGTTAAAAAAATCAGCTACTTGCAAAAGTTCGAGGGGCTGCTTTTTTAAGCAGTCAGCCTTATCAAAACGCCGTTCCTAATCAATCCTGAGCTTTTCAATACTTAAAAATGAGAAAAGCTTAAAGTACGAGAACCGTCTCAGTTCAGACTTCCACTTTCTTAACGTGATACGTACGCAATATAAGTTGTATCACTCTTGTGCAGATTCCCTAAAAATAATAATAAAAAGAAATTGTCTTTAAGCTCACTGCCTGTCCTTTCCTGGTAGCCATTTGCAGGACAAGCTTCTGTTGGCTCTCACAGATGACCAGCGACCAGACTTCAGCAAGAAGACCACAAATTGATAGGAAAGCTTCATAAGCCTCAGTGTTCATAGACCCATTTGCTTTGTTTGAATCAATACTGGCACACTTGAGTACATTCAGCAAATTAAGAAAAAAAAAAAAAAAATCAACGAAAGCAACCCCACAAGTGACAAAGCTTACTCTTTGGGGACATTTCTTTCAAAGAGTCTCGCTGACCCAGACATGGCCAGCCGGTCCTCTAAGAAATCAAGGCAACCTGCAGCACTCCAGAAGGACACATCTAAGTGATGCTTGAGACGGGAGGACCACCCGGAACCTGCCACACAACATCCAGTAGCTCCGGAGAAGAAAAGGAGCTTGCATTTTTCTGAACGCCGAGGGAAGTTCTAAAGCATTTTCACTCTTTCGGTGCTGATACTGAGACTATTAAACTCTTCTTATTCCCTGCTTCATAGGCCTCCACACAGCTGATTTTAATGTGCGTCGCTACTATTTGTATTCTCTGGCACTACAACTGTTTCTCATACAAAGACATAAACAGAATGATTCCAGCTCCAAAAACCCCCATATGTTCTAAAAAGACATCAGACAACGTGTGGGAGGAAGAGAGGTACAGCGAGGAGGGGAAACGCCTTGCCTAAAGTCATACAGGAGGACAGCGACAAGGATCGGAACGTCACTATTCATGAAGCAGGTCTAAACCCAGGAGGTCCTAAATTGCTACCCGGACAAGTTCATGGCAGCCACTGAAAATCGCAGGGAGCAAAAGCATCACAATACTGCAACAGAGCTAATACAGCACCTTTGGCTATATCATACCATTGTTAGGGAGAGGTTATGGGGGTTTTATTTATCTTTAATCTTTTTCCTAGAAGAGGGAAGGAGGGAGGGTTAGAGAGTGGGGAAGGAAGATTGTAAGCTCCATCAGAAAACTTTCCTGATTAGTATTTTCAGTCTGTTACGAAAATTGGCCATCTTAGTGATGCAAGGTGTCCACAGGTGATGAAAATTAAGATCCCAGCCTCCATTGCATTGTAAAATCTGTTGTTTGAATGTGATGCCATGGTCACATCGGCTGCCAACATGGTACTTTGGGGTTTTCTTTTTCGTATGCCATCAGTGCAGCCCTGACCAGTACAACTATGCCACCAACAGTGAATCAAAACCACCACTCCATAGATAGAAGCATCTGATTCTCTTCCTGTAGCTTTTGCCCTCTAAAGTCCCTGGCTGTCAGGAGCATGATGCTATCTGCAAACAAACAGACTTTTTTTCCCCATCTATACTTCATTTCTGGGTATGTTCTGAAAACAACTGAGAAAAAACCCTTTTTTTTTTTGGAGAAGAGAGGATTTTGCCATTTACCTATGGTTATGTCATCCCTAAATTAGACTACTTTGGTGATACATTTAGCAGAGCCAGTCAATACGAAACGAGTTACTAAGTCTCGTTATTAGAAATCATATTGAAGTTCAGTTGGTCAAAGGTACCTCCACAGTCAATGGAAAGGAACAGACAGTTCGAACAGGCAATTTGTCACGCTCTACAACAGGGAGGGTGGATCACCCTCTCAAGATAATAATCTTTTCCATTTACTGAAGATAGAGCCTAGACAACTACCTTAGCTTATTTTAAAATAGCTTAAATGGAAAGAGATGAATGTCATCCTTAAATAGCTAGCTCATCCTGCAGAGAGTCGCACCTTTGCTCCGTAAAATTCACTGGCTTCCCTGTCAACATGCTGCCCAACTTGTCTTCTGTTTCTAAGATCAGCATAATTAGTTTTTCTTCGACTAACATTTGAACATAGCCAAACCACTCAAAACCACCATTCTTTGCATTTATACAGGAGGGTTGAAGACACGGAGGTGAGAAAGGAGAGTCTTCCATTTGCCTTCTCCAAGATGGGAGCCAGCGTTCCCCAGGAGATTCATCAATGGGTGAAACCTTTAAGACACACACTCTGTCGCTGGCGTTAGGTCAAGTTTATGCTCTCTAGATCTTTTTGCTTCCGTACTTCAGTTTTATGTATTGCTTATGCAGTACACTTAGAGGAATTACCTAAAATTTCTGAAAATACAGTTAAGAGGGAAGCATGGGCTATTTTAAAATTAGTTGTATGGCAGATACAGCATACAGTTGCCATGTAGCAAATGAACAGCTGTACATGCAAATTTTATGAGGCTAAGGCAGTACACAGTCCCTTGAAGTACTTAACCAAGATTCAGAAAAAAATTAAATGGAGTCAGACTACTGCAGTTTTCAAGAACTATTTATAAGGTGCGAGTTCTCTGGGTGCAAACAGAGCAAGAAGAGCAAAAGCCTGCCGTATCCTTGGTGGTAATACCAATGTACAGTATGATCATGCACACAAAACTTAGTGTTCCTGCCTTTTGTATGATGTCGGTACACAGTGCACCTTGCTGCATTTCTTAATGAAAAAATAAATAAATACTGCAGTAAGGAAGATGTAAACTGACATGAGTATTAATGCCTAATTTTAAGTGCCCATCAGTGCTGTCTATGAGCATAATCCTTGGTGATCCAGAAAAGGTGTATTTTAATTCCACCTTTTGTCAAAGCCAAATGTGCTCCACACATTGCTGCTTTAGGTTCTCAGGGACCAGCTTTACTCTTCACTTAAATCCCGGCATCTCTCATCATCAGTGAGCCAGATGCAGTAGAAAGAGTTCAGCACGTGGCAATCACTTGATTTGACCGTATGACACCTTAGGAAACCACGTAGTAAGGTGGATCCTCTGTACCAAGAGAGGTTTTTGCATATTACATTTTAAAACTAGCACATGAAATGGAAGATTTACCAAATATATTTAAGTGACCCCCAAGTATTTATCAACCACTGTAAAAGTAAAGCAGATCAATTAACGAAACTGAATAAAAGCAGCCTCTCTGCGCACTGCTTTAGTTCAAGGAAAAGCCTTTGCTCTAACTTTTTTCCGGCTCAAATGGAACTTCTTTCCATTTACTTGTACCTGCCTTACGGTTTCCCCTCCCACATCTCTATGTGAGAAATCTCTGTAATTCATTATCCCAGTCCATGATCCTAGTGGTGGTGTATCAGACCTTCCAGAAGGTGATCTTCCTCTTGGAGTTTATAGATACAGCTATGCCCATCTCCAGTCAACAACATCCAGCCTTCAAGTAGCCGTGGGGAGGGAAGGCTCTGTTGACAAAAATTTAACACATTCACCCATTTTTTAATAAAAATCTACCCAACAGTAGCACTTGCTCATACCTCTGTCAGACTTTCTAGATGAACAAAAATTACTTGCAGTAAAACAGAGGTAAAATTTGCATTGGAACTGCTCACCTTCAATTATATATAAAAATATTCAGGGACCCTTTAATGAAGTAAAAAATGAAAGTATTAAAAAAATTACGTTGATGTCATAGTTTCCATCACTGCCATACTTCCTCTTTATTTGCATCACTGAAAGATTGAAAAAAAAAAAAAAAAGAGTAAGTTCATAAGCATGGTTAGTTCTTTAAAAAGAATCACTAAGCATTACGTTTAACACTAAAAGCTGGAGGGTAGGTTATGTGACAGGTGATTTAGTTAACTTTCCCTTATTCCCTTCTGCCACGGACAAGGAGTCAGGCAGAGAGGCGCAGGGAATTTTCCACGGGTACGCAGAAAATCATTGTCTCATCAGGAGTGTTAAAGGCTTTCCTGCCTCCCAGCTCTGTCCGCTCCCGAGGAAAGGCTGTAGCTCCCCAAGCCTAGACTCTTGCAAACGGCGCATGACACAAAGAGTAGAGGAGAACCTGTGTTTTGTTCATAAACAATTTATTTTATTTCAAATATGTGCCCTTGTTGATTCAACCATGATGTCTGGAGAATCATGTCCTCCACCAACCAAAGAGAGAACTGATTTGGAAATCTTCCACCTGACTTATTTGCTGATGATACCTTGACACTGCCTCCCTCCTCCTCCTCGGCAGCTGAAAGTATGGCTCAGAGTGAGCATAAACTTGCACCTTATTCTGACATGGCTAAAAATACAGTGAACAAAGAATTAGTAAATCAACCATTCAGGGAGGCAGAGGGCGATGAACATATAGACAAATATAAAACATCTTATTGGGATTTTTAGCGATTTTTTTTTCTGCAAGTAAGATTAAAAACCACTTTAACTTTAGTGTCCTGCTGTTCCCTCCTCCTCATTTCCTCCTCATCCCCCAAGAGAAATAAACAATTTCAAAAATGCTTGATGCTCCTAATGTTTTTTATAAACATTTAAAATCCTGTCCCTCTCCTTCCAAAAAAGCAGGTAATGCGGTATGGAGTGAACAAGACTGGACAAAGCATGAGTTTCGCATGGACGAATTGCTGATTTGGTACGGGTGTGTGCTTTGCATTTCCGTTGACTAAGATCATAAGACAGGAAGCAAGTTATTTTGGATGCTGATGCCAATCTGAGCATTAAGGAAAAACTAACAGTGCCTGGGTCCTGGTACAGGTGGTCATGGACTCATGGAAGTTTCTTGGTTTAATATTTACATGGATGTTTTAAAATTATGGTCTGTGAAATATATTTTCCAAAGATGCTCCTATATTTGGGAAAAAAAAAAAAAGAACCCTTGATCCAAATCCCATCTCTTTTTAAAAGTCTTTTTAAAAATTTTGATTCATCAATTTATCTTAGCACACTTAAAAGCAGAATAGAGAATAATGACATTTTAAAAAAAAAGAGAAAGATGCTGATCTCTAAGGAGACCGTCGCTCTTTTTTCATAAGTAAATGACACTGAATGGTGCGGATTCGATTCTTTGCTGGGGCAAACTCCGGCTGAAGTTTTAGTGTTGACTCATACCATTTCATTGCCTTTTCAAACTCTTCCTGAAAAGAAAGAAAGAAGATTGCAAAGAGTCAGATTCTAAAAAACACTAAACACATTTTCTATGCCTTTCCCGTCCTAAGTAGTTGAGTAGTATGGTATGCACAAAAGTAACTGAACCAATCCTTGTGGTTTAGGGTTTTTTTTCCCCCCTCCCCCAAATAACTGATATTTTCTTGGGCTAATGACCCAATTCTGCATAGTCCATGGAAGGGAGTCAAATCACTGCTGAGCATTATTGACCAATGTTCTTGCCTTTTCCTTTTAATAGTAGATTTTAGCATTCTTGCTGTAAAAGTAACTTCTAAAAACAGATTTCAGTCAGAATTTACATAGATCAAAGCTTCAAAATCTTGGACAATGCAAAAAGATCAACTTTGCTGAAAAGCCAACATTTTTAAAAACAACTTGAAATTAAAAGATTACTCAAAGTAAAAAAAAAAACCAACCACCAAACAAAACTTTAAGAGCACACAATAGCTAGACAATTTCAATTGATAAGCTGGACTCCAGAATGGAGGTAACAAGCATTCATGCTGAAATAACACCTATTTTTATACAGCTGAATTCTAATTAGCTATGCCACTCTGCTTTTTTATTAACTGGGAAAGCACGCCAACATCAATAGTGTATTAGAAGAAAAATGAGAGGGGAAAAAACCCCAAACATTCTGGGTTTTTCAGTCACTTTCAACACTGTTTTTGTTCTCTTAAGTTCCTTTCTTCAGTAACTTTATTTGTCCAGTAAAGATAATATTCATTTCTAGCCACATTATAAACACTAACTAGACCAATGTGAGTTGTAAAGTCTTGATTTTTAAAAAAAGTGTATTTTAATACAGTTTCAACAGGAATTACATAGAAAATCCCATATTAGTTTGTGGGAGCACTGACAAACAGCAATGAAAACAAGCATCAGATTTTTCCATTTTTAGATGTAATAATTTACATCTGCTGTGATCTGGTATTATTTTGATGTTCCTTTAGGTTCCCACATCAATAGATTCCATCCAAAGTTCTCAGTCCTTAACATGGCCATGTTTTCCCTTTGCAAGGCAACATACTGAAAAGTTTTGCAAATAAAGGAACCTTGGCCTCTATAATGCTATACTATTAATTAGCACGACATCTTCTACCACCTGTTGGTCAGAGTCAGCTCTCAAGTACAGCAGGTTAAATATGCCGTAAATAAACTAACTTGTCTTTATGTTAGTATAATTTGATCTAGAAGATAAATTTTGTCCTGTTGCTACAGTCATTTCATATAATGAACACGGGGCTTCATTGAGATCTCTCTCAGATCCAGGGAGAATGAAGTTATCCTTAGGCACTGTGCTAACTTTAAAAAAGACATTGGCAACTCAAACATCAAACTTCTTCATTTCTTTCAAACAACTGTCAGAAGCAATACCTTCATAGAACAAAGTCATGCCTTCCTTCAGTTTGTTTCCATTGTGTGTTTGACCGTACTGTGCATTTCAACTCTTCTCAACCCTGATAGCTGTAATACATGATCCCTGCTCAACCTGCCCTGTTATCTCCGTGATCCCCTCAACCACAGGAGCAAAACACGAAGGACAAATCTATGACAAGTGCTGGAAACTGGCAGGGATACTTAAGAACACGTGTAATTGAAAATACTTTTGACACAGACATATTTATCAACCACATCTCAGTTTAATAGTGCCTTCTTTTACCCTTCAAATATACTGGCCCTTTTAAAGATAAGGATGAAACACGTAAGAACCATTAGTAAGATGAAAGGAATGAACATTTTGTGTTCAGAGTAAGCACTGAAAGCTAAATTGCAGATTAGAATATATAGACAGTATGAAGAAATTTGAGTTCAATCTGTGAATTACTTTGGGAGTTGATAATCCAGATATTGAAATTAAACTTCCCTTGTGTTTGTTCATTGCAACTGTGAACTGGGTTTTACTTATTACGCTAAGCTCAGCTCTTCAGGATAGAGACCCAATTTATCATTAATTTTCCAGTATTACAAAAGTATCCTGTGTTTAGACGGGCAGCCAACCAAAATTATCAATTGTTTGCTACGCTCTTAACAAAGCTCTGCAGACAGCATTCTGAAGCCAGCTTATAAAAATGTTGGCCTTCAGGTACTAAATGAGTAATAAGAGTAAAATGAGTAATAAGAGTTTTGGCACTCAAAAAAAATATTCTTTCTTGTTGATCCTACCCCAATTTCTTGAATGCTGCTCCTCCAAAATTATTTGTGAGAATAAGATTTTTATACATATATATATATACACACACATACTGTACCAAAGACAAGACACAACTGGGTGACAGCACACTCACCATTGCTACGTAGACATTTGCCAGTGTGAAATGATTAACCACAAAGTGTGGTGCTATTTCCACTGCCATGGTAGCCACAATGATGGCATCGTTCCAGAGTTTGGCGTTGTGGAAGATGTTTGCTAGGCTTATTAGTGGTACATCCTGAAAGAGAAGAGCAAGCAAACAGTGAGGTTCTTTCCACTGAAACTGTCTCAGGATCAGCGAGACAAACAGAGGACTCCACCACCTGGCCGCTCTCACTTGGTTACTGCCCACTCCACTATCTGGTGACTTTGGAAGTGATGAGTCAGACCTATTTTACTATAAAACGGCATTTGGACCCGAGTTATAAACAAAAAAGCCTCACCTACACACATCTGCTCACAATAGTAACAAACACTGCTGTTGCACAGGCAATCTACTAAAAAATTAACTCACTTAAGTGTCCTAGTACGTACCTTTATTTTTTAGATGCTCTTACACTAGTTTTCTCCCCAAAGATGAGATGCATTCTCAGAGACAAGAAAAGCTGTTTGTTTGACCACCCTCCTTCAGCTCTTGCATAAAAAGGGAAGGAATATGAATAAAAGGGGACAGCAGGGAAGTGAAAAAAGGGTCTAACCATTAGTGCAACTGATGCACTGTTTTTTATCCTGCCTCTGCCACAGAATCCCTGTATGATGCTGGATAACAGCTATAAATAAAATTTTCTCAGCTAGTCACTGATGGTATGTTTTTTATTTCCTGGATTTCCCGACTGTGACCTTGTCTGACTGACAAAACTGTTGAGCCCTGACAGCCATAACAGACTCTCTGGGAGCTGGGCTTCACACCTTCCAAGCACAAAATACTGCTTAGCAGCAAGTCTTAGGTGCCCTCAACAGGACAATAAAAAATTTTGGATGTATTTGATCCCTGCCTCCTTGACCTCTACAAAGCAAGGAGTACCTTTGGTGGATAAGTCATCCGTGTTTGCAAAGCAGATATTATGGAAGTCCGAATCACAAAAGAAGCCCACAGGAAAATTAATTACATTTTATTTATGGGAGAAAAGGCAAGAGAAAGTAGTGAGAGTGCATAAAACCAAAGAGGAGGATAAAACAAAATATTAAATAGCTGTTCATTCAGTGCTAACTCTCACTGAGTTCGAGTGGCACCTGTATCCTTACAAACAAGACCCACAGTTTTCTCTGGAGGCAGCTTCAGTATGGAGGATAAAAACATGGCACAAATTTGGAGAGTCAGCCAGTCCCAAGCATCATTATATCACATTTCTAGAAAACAGCACTATACACCATAATCTTGCCAAATTGTAGTTTCCAATCCATACTCTGACCCTTACAAGTCACACAGTTACGGGCGCCATTTCTGAGGAACCATTCCCAGTTACACAGAAAGACAGGAAAATAAGCAAGAGCTTCTTGCGTTAGATCTTGGTTCCAACCTTGTTTTAAAAGGACAAGTGCAAAGAGACAGAATTACAGGGGACATAGATACATAGGATGTGCATTCCTGAGTTGAGGCATTTCTACTGTTAACAGCTAAATCCTCCTAATAATATGCTGAGAGTGTAAACTACTTTGCCGCTCAATTTTCAGATTTAAGACCAAGACTCAAAAAGGAGCATGCATTTTGCAGTGCAGCACAATTTGTTGCTCAGGTTCCCAGAGTGAAATCTGCAATGTTGAGTGAGGAGCCTATACAGCCTTTATCAGTTTGCAAGGGGGACCTTGGTGTCTGAGAATAGACGTTATAATGCTCAGCATACCATGTGGCAAGGTGAAGGGTACAAAACATTTCAGTCAACTGAAACACTAAACAGAAGATTATGTCCAAAGTACTGCCTTTTTTGGAGTAAAGCACAGAACTGCTGCACAAAGTCAGGCACTAGTGTCCAGCTGAGATTCACAGCCCAAACACTTAAGATTTAAGGATTTAAGTTCTCTGTTTAGATATCACCTCCTCCCCTCTTCAAAAGCGCAACCAGAAAATATACTCCCCACATCTTAGGTTAGAAGACTTGCCCAGACAAAGTCTGATGAAGATTCAAAGTCCTACATAACAGGGGGAAGTTCAAGTCCACATTGCCCAGAGAGGTGTCAAACCCACTGAACTGCAGGAAATTCCACTGAACCTCTTTTGCAGTTGTCTTTTTTTACTATTATTTTTCAAAAAGAGACAGCCCACACTAAACAGGTGGTGAGGTTTCACTACAACTAGCTAATATCTAATACATTATAGACACTTGATACACACAGTGTTGGCCTTAACAATCTGTGAAAGCTCTATTGTGACAAGCAAAACATTATTTCATCAGAGTAGTGGGCACGTGTACACACCTTCATGTGATGGGGTGCATAGTGCAATGCTTGCCGTAAGCAATCGATTGCCTTCTTTCCTTGGCCTTTCACCCTCCAGTAAAGAGCTGCCATGCTAGAGAGGACCCATGAAGTCTGATTCTGGCAAAAGAAGAACACAAAAACCAGTCATGTAAAACACTGTGGTGAACAGTCTTCCTGTCTTTCACTCTTCCAATTTGTTTGATGTATTGAGTTAGAGGGTGTTACACTTAAAATAGCATTAAGCTATTCCAAAGCAGCAAAAAGTTTCTTATCTAATAACATATATGCATAGCCAGGTAAATGAGATTGGCAAATGAAACACAAATTCTAAATGCAACGCCATTTTCTTAAGAAAGAAACAGCAGCTAAATACCTTTAAACAGCAACAACAGTTTCAGCAGCCACAACAGCTTCTAACCAGCTGTCTGATGCTAAGCATCTAGATGTGTATACACGTCACCCAACATAAAGCAAAAAATTTAGCTGATGGGACTTGTAGGCTCTCTGTAGTCACTGGAAGGAGAAAGGATGCTCTGGTATGCAGCTCAGAGCAGAAGCTGACAAGCCTCGCTGATTAAGTTTGATGCCTCTAGCTGGCTGACTCCCATGTCACGTGTTAGAAAGGAAAATACTATGTGCTTGAGTTCTGTGGACTCAGATACAGTAAATGAATGTTTATGCTCACATATGCAATTAGATAAGTAGCCATCTTGATTTGTTTGATTAGCTCTTGTGAATACTGAATGAGACTGGTAGACGGAAGAACTGCATTTTATTTCCACCACGGCTAGCCTTACTGAGAATTCTGTTTCTGGTCTCAGCATTAAATTTTCAGCTTGTTTGGATAAAGCTGCTGAGCAGGGGGAAGTGTAGCATGTAAGAGAAAAAGTTAGTGGTATACTAAATCTTGTAACATGAGCGTAAGAGTAACATCTTTTCTTTCTGGGAATGACACAGCTATATTGGCTTTAGTTTCAAAGCATAGTAAGTTCCTCAGATGGCTTTTGGTAGAATAGGCTAGGGGCACCAAACTGTTTTGGCTGAGCCCTCTTTTCTATGGTAGTTTGGGATATCCTCCCCACTAGTTGTAAACATGTAATAACAATCCCTGCATCCTTATCTACCTTGTAGCTCCTGGGAAAATTATGTCCTTAATCATCTCCTCCTCAGGACCTCAGCTGAGGTCCTTAGCAGCCTTAATCTAGTTAGGAAGCTTGGCTTTCTCTGGGGAGAAGAGGAAGTGCAGCCTTGCACATGGTGCCATACCTCTGCCTGAACGCATCTGACGCTTCAGCCCAACGCTGCATAAGGTAAAAGAAGTAGGCAGAGAAGAGAGGAAGGCCCTGCCTGTCACCTGCGTGCGACCAGAGAGTTGAGCCACGGCTTAACTCAACTTTCCATACGCTCCAAGTCAATGCAGCACAAAAAGAAAGAGAAGGGCTGGGAACTGTTGAAATAGTTTAATATATATCAACAACCAGCAACACTGCTCACTACAGGGCTGGAAACACTGGGAAATTTGACAAAGTTAGGTTTTTGTAGAGATATGCAAGACACATGACAGCGTAAGTACAGGTACAGCTCAACAAAATACCTGTGAGGGCACTATAGATGCTGAATAGACATAAATCCGTAGTCCAAGTAATTTGACAAGGTTAGGTTTTTGTAGAGAGATATGCAAGACACTTGACAGCGTAAGTACAGGATACAGCTCAACAAAATACCTGTGAGGGCACTATAGATGCTGAATAGACATAAATCCGTAGTCCAAGTACTAATACGTTCCTTGACTGTGATTTCAGACAAACGGTTCGAGACTGAATTGACCACTAGGTCAGTCATGAGCAGTAAGCCCAGACTTCTAATTTTTCTCATTTACACATACCTTTTCCAAAGCTTTGGCTATTCGAGTACCAACTTGTTCTAATGACTGTGGCGAGTACTGGTCTTTGCCAAGATTCTGTAGCACCTGTGGAAGAGGAAGAACAAGTGCTTAGATGCTGGAACCTGGTAAGAGATGTCCCTCACTTGCTTTTCTCCCCAGCCTTTTACAAACGCTGTAACCTGTTCCAACCTAAACATCACTATCTATCTTGAGTTAATACTATCTGTATCATCACACAGTGTTATAATTCCATGTCACTGAATACTACGAATGGTAGAAGTTTATGTATCTTCAGTTGGACTTTTCTTTCACTAATTCATCCATCAAGAGCTGTAAATACAAAGCCACTAACGGTGTTTTAGGATTTCCCTCAGGCCAGATTGTAGATGGCTGGAAAATCATTCTGGTAAAATATCGCCTTCAGCTTGCATTGTTCTTACAGTTTTATCCAGGCATTCACTCACTGAAGGTCACTTCTGGAGACAGCGCACTGAGCTAAATGCGCCTTGACTCTGCCATGGTATGGCCGTTTTTGTGTGACAGCCTTCAACTCTGGCATACCTCTTTCAGTTGACTTTCTCCAGTGTAATGCAAGCTGGCCCGACTAGAGACACCTTGCAGGTGGTCCAAAGTATGCATACTGGCTGGTAGATTTGGGTTACAAAGGGGCTCCATGGCTGGTTCTTGCAGCTGCGTGGCAAAATCAATGTGTTCTGTAATGCTACAAAGGTGATAAAACAAGTCGAATCAGTCAGGAGAAGAAAACAGAAGAGTCATTACAAAGTTCTCTAGTGAGTGTAAATTGCCTAGAACCTGGCAGAATCTCATTTGAGCAGCTCAAGAAGCAAGAGAAACTGGATCTTCCGTCTGCACTTGCACTTTTCTTTGCAAGTCTATTGATGAAATACCACATAATGTTTTCCAACTTCTTTGAAATCCTGGCAGCTCTTTCTTACTTTAAAGAATACTAAAATCTTCAGTTTATGCACACTGAAGGCCATGTAACTGTCTTGCTTTGTGTGAGTAACTTATTTAAGGTTCATATACAAGATACTTACTCAATGTTTTTGGCAGAAACAGCAAGCCATGTGCTGGCTACAGTTGTAAGCTCTACCCTACGGAGTTTCAGGCATTCATCAGGACTTGGCCAGCCAAGGCTACGATAGTCACGCCTTTTTCCTTGAGAAAGGGAAAAAAAAAAAAAACCAAACATAAAACTGTCGGGAAGCAGAAAGACATTCTACTTCAGTACAATGATATACAAAATACTTTATACCAGTGGATACATTCCCTACATTATAAAAATCATGGTCCTGCAGCTAGAGTTCTTTAAGAACATTCCTGAACCTAAGTGGACTGGATGGAACTTGTGGGATCCAAAGACAGAACTGGATCCTAAGCAAGACAGATTAGGAGGTGGAGTTTTAAAACCTGTTTCAGTACACTTTTTCAACAGCTACACATTAAGAACAATCGCCACTCTTGTTTACAGGTAATGTCTCTACTTAAATATCCTTAAAGAAAGTTCATAAGTGAGTCATCATTTATGTTCTATAGCTACAGTAAAAACTAATAAAAGTTGATTGCTCCATCTTCTGACAAACCCACGTGAAAAATACTGCCGTTTCTTTTCAATGAATATTGTTTAAGACAGACAGCGGCTTTTACTGCATTCTTACACTCAAGATAGCAACATTTCTGAAACTATTAAGCAATTACACTTCAGCCCTCCCATTCTGCAGAGAAGTTAACCGAGGCAGGGAGAGGTTAAATAACTTGCTTTATGTTAACAAATAGATCATTGGGAGAAACAAGAACCTGTTCTTCACATCTGAACCGAAGCCTACTGAAATCTTTCCCTTACATTTGGTGGATACTGTACCAAGTCCTAGGAATCCAATTTGTGTTAACTGTTAGGAAACCTTTTCCTCTCATATCAGAAACATCTGAACTGTTTGGAACATAAGAAAAATTCATTGCACAGTGGGAAGCCAAGTTTAACAACGTGCCAGTCTATTGCACCAGCTACGTAGGCAGCATTTCAGTATTTATTTCTAGTTACCTGAAATTTTGCCCATTTGGATGCAAATCCTATTTCCCATCCAAGGTATAGTAAAACGCTTCACCATAATTTTGCAAAATAACGATGAAGTCTGTAACACTATATCTTTCGTAAAGTATTCTGATTAAAGGAAAATTAACTTCGAGAAACACTGGGAAACTTCAGAGCGGAATGATCAGTTCTCATCACCACCACTGTGAACTATCTGATTGCGAGTTCTGATTTGCATGAACGGCAAAAGATAGCGAGAGGTATGGAAACACTACGCAGAGACAGTTCAGTAGTCTGAGAGGCAGTCAAACACAGGACAGCTAGCGTCATTTCCCTGATCTACCAGGAACTCCCCAGGTGACCTCCAACATGTTACTTAAACTTTTGATGATTTAGTTCTTGTAAAGAGGATGTCAGCAGACCCTGCCTCCCAGGAGCGTTAGGAACACAACTACTTTACAATTTGTCGTGGTTTA